ATGTTCAAGTATAAATGGCATTGAATAAGTAAACAAATCAATGACAAGGAACTAATTGTATATTTCTCTTCATCAACAAATAAGATGCTTCATCCAGCAACAGGGTGTCCGACACGGTTTAAATGCTGGCAGAGGACGCTGCGGCTGCAGTATATAGTGACTCGTTGCATTCTCCCTCAACCAAAAGTCCTCACGTCATGCATTTAAGCTAAAATGCTCATGTTAACTTACCTTGCACTGGCTGTAGAGACGTGGGTGATGGTCACGCAGATGTGCCATTAGATTCGAAGTGTTGCTGCCTTTTGCAGACACTTGTTTCCTGCACGTTCTGCAAACGGGATAGCAGTCTTCTATTAACTGTCCCTCAGCATTTTTCAGAAATCCAAAATATGCCCATACTTCCGATTTAGTCTTCTTTGAGGGCTGATGGATGTCCTGGGCGCTGCCGTCTCCTCCTTCGGCCATTATTTCAGCTTCAAAGTTTTGGTTGCAAACTAAAAAGTGCGTGTGCGCGGGAACTTCAGCAGAAGCGACGGTGGCTGGTAAGGGTCACCGTGCCTAAACCGCGGCCACGGTAAACCCACCGAGATAATTTAGTTTTTTAAAAACTGGACGTTATTTTTATTGTCAACTTTTTTTACTGGGGTTTACCGCTATACCGGTTACCGTGACAACCCTAGACAGTGCCACAAAGCGCTGCGGCTTGAGAAGTTTCTGGGGGTGGACGTGGTGATTTCCGAGTCGAGGTCTCGTTGTGTGATTAAGGATGTGGTTTACGGCCTTTCCAACGAGGTCACTGATTCTGAGGTGTTTGGTTCCATGAGTGGGGCAGCGGTGGTGGCTGTTCGGCATCTGGGGTTTAACGCACGTGGGTCCACTCCGCTGCTGATTACTTTCGACTAGGTGGAGCTCGCTGCTCGTGTCCAGTTTCTTCGCGGTGAGGGCATATGAGGAAACTCCTCTGAGGTGTTTTAGGTGTCAGGGATATGGTCATGTGGCTGGTGCCTGTCTGGTGACGATGCGTTGTCGGAGGTGCGGGGGTGACCGTGTGATTTACCGCTCCGACATTGTAACTGTGGTGGGAACCATCAAGCGTCTTGTAGGGGCTGTGTGGCATATAGGGCGGAGGTGGAGGTGGGGAAGGTTCAGACTGAGCATTAGGTGTTATATGCTGAGGCGGTGCGTCACATGGGGATGCGGAATAGTGGTGCGTTCGGGCCTTGTAATGTGCCTTTGTCAACTGGTGGTGGGGATGTGGGGGTGGGTGTGGTGGTTGTAAGGGATAAAAGGAAGTTTTGGGCATTTCTGGTTGAGACCTTGTCGAGGGTGAAGAATGGAGCGTCCAACAAGTCCGATGTAGCTCGTGAGGTGACAGCAGTGGCGGGGGCCTTGTTGGGTTTTTCTGGCGTGTCCCCAGAGGAGGTTTGGGGGGCGACATGTTTGCGGGGTGTTGGGGGTTCTGAGTCTGCTGTGGATTGTGGGATGCCCTTGGTGGTGGGTGTAGATGATGGGGGTGGGGGTGTGTGTCTGGGGTGAACCTCCAGCCTGCCTAATTTCAATGAAGAAGAAGAAGAAGAAGAAGAAGAAGAAGAAGAAGAAGAAGAAGAAGAAGAAGAAGAAGAAGAAGAAGAAGAAGAAGAAGAAGAAGAAGAAGAAGAAGAAGAAGAAAAACACACTGCCGGATGATTACTCAACCTGTGTAGTCCAAGCCAGATTGAACATTGTTGACTAAGACTAAGACTAAAGCTAAGACTAAGGATTTTTTGTGTGAAGCCAATCACTAAGATTAGGACCAAGAGTAACACTTCCCTCTTATCCCTTCCAGGCTCTTTCAGAACCATCTCCTCAAGCCATTTCCAAGAACCTCTCATCAGCTCCTCTTCATGCAGCTCCAACCCCTGGCTGCCCGCTCTCCACCACCCACCTACAACCTGGTTTCTTTAAGCTCACCACACAGCACCCTCCGAACCTCGTTTTCACCAAGATACCCATCTACCCTCCTTCGCAGACCAAGCCTCCCAATGCCATTCCACCACCTCCTGACAGTATGCCTAAACCTAACAGTTCATTTAATCCTTTTCTCCTTGACGGATATTGACTCTTTGTCTCCCTTAGAGCATCCTGGTCCTTCCTGCATCAGTTCGAGCAGCACTTTGAGTTCACCATTCTATAATTAATAATTTGTTTTCTTACCTCCTTGTTTCTGCCTCTGATTCTGCTTGTTTTGGGTCAAAAGATTACCACAGAACATGACATCTATAGCTCTGTCTACACTATCTCAGATATTTTAAACAGATATGCTTTTCCCTGTGTTTAAAATATCTTCATCCACATGAGTCTGACAAAATGGCTAAAATTACACACTACACCACTAGTTGGTGAGAGAATCCACTATAACTTAACCTAACCTAACCTAAAGTAACTTATCCTAACATAACAATGCAACGCAACATAGCATAATGCAGTGAAATGGAACAGAACCTAACATAACCTAATGTAACATAACATAAAATAACTACTTAACCTAATGTAACGTAAAAAAAACGTAACGGAATGGAACAGAACATAACCTAACCTAACAATACCTAACATAACCATATGCAACGTAATTTAACGGAACCTAACCCAACCTAATGTAAAATCAAGTAATGTAACATAACGTAACCTAACGTAACACAACTTCACTTAACCTAACGTAATGTAACGTTACATAGCATAACGGAATGGAACAGAACATAACCTAACCTAATGTAAAGTCAAGTAACGGAACGCAACGCAGCACTAAAAACTTTCAGCTCTGTGTTTCATCTAACATAAGATGTTTAATCGCAACAAGATCAGGATAAAGTAGGAAACGATGCAGAATATTTACTTAGAGTTACTCAATTGTTTTAGTGCAGAATGTAACAGTTAGCCTACACAATGTGCTATGTCAATTCTTCTTAAAAACCTAAAAAATGTCCGTTTTTATCACCCAAAACTTTCTGGATGGGAGGTACAATGCAGAAAATTAATTAAATCAGGAGTAAAACCTAAAACAAATGAAGCCTTGAAAAACGTATTGGTGGTTTAATGTGAAATCTTGAGGCTATTTTTTTTTTCTTCAGTTACACAGACTGAGTTTTATATGTTTTTTTTAAACACCTTGGTTTAGCATCTTGGCTAATGTGAGTCTGATGTGGTGAAGATGGAGCCAAGCAAGAAACCAGAGCTCTCAATTTACCGAGTTATCTTCATCCAAACTCTCCCCTATGGGCACGAGCTTTGGATTAAAAGAAAGAACAAGACTGCAAATACAAATGGCTGAAATGTTTCTCTTTGGTGGGGTGGCCAGGATTAGAGATGAGGAAGGTGAGAACTCGTACATCTGGGAGAGACTAAGAGTAGAGCCGCTGCTCCTCCTTGTTGAGAGAAGCCAGCTGAGGTGGTTTTAGCATTTGGTCAGAAATTCTTCTGGATGCCTCACAGGAGTAGCCTGGCAAGCCAGACTAAATAAATGTATTATTTAGTCTGGCAACGCTCCATTGACGGTTCTCGGTTGTGGGGCGGGTTCAACCGTTGTCTTTCAAATGATCTCCGCATTCCACTGGACAATGAATGTGACATACTCTTGTTGCACTCTGTTGCATCATCCCACCCACCAGGCATATAGAGTGCCTTGATTGGCCCACAAAGCGGATAAAGCTCTGTGATTTGTTCACTAAGCAGATAGAGCACTATGATTGGCCCACCATTATGGACCAATCACAGCTCTTTATGTTTTTGAAACCCCTCTAGAGAGCTGTGATTGGCTAGCCAGAGTCCTGGTAGGAGCTGCTGAGGTTCCAATGGAGCATGCCTAGACCATTCTTTGCAAAGCAAGAATTTGGTCTAGTTCACTAGGCTATCACAGGAGAGGTTTGGTTTAGCATGTTCTACTGAAAACAGGCCCCCAGGTTGACCTACGACATGTTGGATGGATAATATCCCCACATTGGCCAGGGAATGCGTTGGGATCCCACCGTTGGGAGTTTATCGAGATTGTTGGAAATGCTTGGCGTTTCCAGAACACGTTTGATTTTGGCCCTCTTTCATGTTGAATTTATTTCACAGTTTTCATTGGTTCACTCAATCCATTGTTTTACACATTTGTCCTGTACCAGAATGTTTCATCTATTTTGTAATTTGTATTTTGTAATTTGAATTGCTTTTATTGTTGATTTATTCAATATATTTACCTACAACTGAACCATGTTCAGCGCTTTGGGCTTCCTGACAGGGTTGCGGAAGGCGCTCTATAAATAAAGCTTTGATTGATTGATTGTTGGGGAGAGGATGGTTTGGGTCTCTCTGCTGGAGCTGCAACCCCCATGACAAAAACAGAAATTCAAACTCTCCATACTAATATCACTCAAACTGATGTCTTTGAGTGCTCTTAAATAATCCATAAAAACCAACTGCATAAAATTTATTCCTTTTAAACATCACGTCAAAACAGTTATGCTAAATATTGGAAATCAATAATTCCACGCATGAGTATAGTCATTTTTCTAACTGCACCCTGAAATCAAGGTGAAGTTAACGTTCTGGTATGTTTATGAAGAAAAAAAAATTAAAGAACAAAATATACAGTTGCTGCTGGGGCCCTGAAAAGACTTGGCCCAAAAACAGAGAAAGTACCCAGCATTCCTTTCCCTATCCTCCCTCATGTTCCAGGGCTCCACAAACAAGAGGTGCGTGTTTCCCTTTAAGAAGCCCCCACCGCGTGCACAACAGAGGGAGAAAGAGCAGGCCAGTGGAACAGCGACAGAGAAGGGAAAAAAACTCAACAGAGGACGGTTTCAAGTTCCCCCAGTAGAAACTGTGCCTGATTTGTGGCCAATGTTGGAGATGTAAAGAGAGAGAGAGAGAGAGAGAGAGAGAGAGAGAGAGAGAGAGAGAGAGAGAGAGAGAGAGGGGGGGGGGGGGGGGGGGGGGAGGGAGGGAGCGGAGAGAGAAGGAGGAGGGTAGAGGATGAGGAGGAGGAGGGGGAGGAGAAGGGGGGGAGGAAAAACACTAAAGGGGTAGCTATGGAGATGGAGCGTTTTCCTGGCTGCTTTCTTTGACAGGTGTTGAGTGGGGCAAAAGTCTTAAAACAGAATTCAGCATGTACGCCAAAGGTAAAGGAGCTGTCGTCCCTTCCGATAGCCAAGCGAGAGAAAAGTAAGTGAATCCTGCCTTTTTCTGGGAGAGTTTACCTGCTTATCATGCGGGGCGAGCGGGGCAGAGGAGGGGAGCACAACTTTCTAAACTAGGTTCTGTAATTTAAAAGGAGTGCGCTCCGGCGCGCGCTCCTCCTCGGTGCCGTTTCCCATCCGACCACCACACAGGCGCGTCTCTTAAACTTTTTCCCTTTGAGCGAACACGTCTCCGAATTGTGGTTTCTGCACAGAATGTATTTATGTGCGCGCACAGCTTAGCACACCTCTTGCTAAGTCTTTTAAAAAGAGAGCAGCTGTGTTTGATTTCTCCGATAACTTCTAAAGTTGAGAAGAAGAATCAAATTCTAGGCGAAGCATGCTCGTTCCCCTGCACGCGAAACTTTCAAGAGATGCAGCTGCGGGATGCTGGTGTGATTTCAGTGTGTTTGAGCTGTTGACTTTTTGCTGCTTGCTGTGCGTTTTGGTGCGTAAAAGCCGGGGCGCAATCACTCCAAGGCGATGAGGAGGAAAACTTTTGTCCCATCCTGCAGCGGTGCTAAACTTTTACAGATTGAGCTGTTTTTATGCAAAGGATGACGCGATTACAGAGAAAGGGAAATAAATGCTATTGATCTTATGGAAATATATTGGGCAGGAATCATCCAAGCTGGTGATGGTCCTGCTCATGAAACACTTTGGGGATGTTTTTGGTTCACCAAAAGGGTCACACTGCTAATTTTTGTCATTCACTTGTGAGACATAGTAACAGGAACATATGCTTGAGTCACAGCTCTTTAGATCGTGTCATCTCATCATCAGATGTTCTGCTTTTACGCACCAAACACAGTTTGGAGCAGCCGGATCCCTGCGGAGATGCGGTTGTAATCCCTAAAACAATGTCAAGTCCTGAGAGGCTGTGCTGCTCCACCGCACCTCCCAACAGAAACACCTTTTGTTTGGAGACTCTTTGTATATTTTTCGTATCATATCCAAATTGATGATGCTTTCTAGACACGTGTGTCGCTTATGCACTGAAGCTTCCTCGAGTGCGACTCATCTGGTGCAAGGAGCAGTTTGATTTCACTCTGAATTCACATCATTCGTCTGGACAGGATATCGGTGATACGGAGGAGTGAATTCTAAATTAAGGGTGCCATGTGGTTTTCTGAACAGCAGGCAGCCTGACCTTTGAACCAGCATATGATGCTTTAATATTGCATATCAGCATTTAGGCCTTTACACCTGTTTGTTTCATTAGTTTATTTACATAAAACCCAGAAAAGCGATCTATTAATGAGATTTCTATCTTTATTTCTCACTTTCAGACAGTTGTTAGTTGCACTTGCTTGTTCGGGGACTGTGGATTATGTTCCATGTGTCACTGGGAGTGGAATCAGTGCAGAGGCAGCATGTATTTCAAATGATAGTGCAGGAGGAGGATTAATAATTTAACTCATGAGAACTGCAAGTCTTCTGAGAGCTGGAATGGATGACAAACCCTAACATGTGTTTATTATAGCATGATTGTCTCTTATTTATCAGAACTTTTCCACAAGTTTAATTTTATTATGGGAAATAGGTGTGTGTGTGTGCGTGTGTGTGCGTGTGTGTGTGTGTGTGTGTGTGTGTGTGTGTGTGTGTGTGTGTGTGTGTGTCCACACACGTTAGATGACACTTGCCCTCTCCCCTCACCTGTCTAACCAGGCTTGCGGGGCTAACACATGTTCCCATGTAAATGTGGAGCTCACAGCGTTGTGGATTATCATATTCATATTTACATATTCATACAACTCTTTACATATTCACCTAATGAAAAGGATGGGCTTGCTTGTATCTTATTAAAGGGGGATCAGTTTCACACACACACACACACACACACACACACACACACACACACACACACACACACACACACACAGTTTGGCATCGCAGCTGCTGCTGCATCTCAGAACATTGATCACCAAGTCAGTTCAAGAAGTGCCATTTTAGTGTCTTGAAATTACGTTTGGTTAAGTTTAGAGATCAAAACACAGCTTAAGGTATTTAGCTATATTTCTGTTTTAAACAGATTTTGCATTCGTATGAGTAACTTGTTTTATTCTCTTTTCATGCTGAATAAATGACGCAATCTTGCATTTAGAGATCTGTCAAAGAAGAGAGTAAACAAGACAAACAAAAAACAAACAGACTTGTAACGGGACTTAAAAGGGGCAAGCAGTTGTAAAACTGCCTGTTGCTCAAGCAGTGAATTTGTTGTATTTTTCATGCCGTCTGCTCATGTACATCATTTAAATATAGAAGTTTGTTATTGCACATTTATAATTTGTTTATGTTTGCAAGATTGTACAATTTAAAGTGAAAGTTCCTTTAATAAGTTTCAGTTTTTAATCTCTCCTGGCTAAGTGAACATTTGCTGACACTGTGAGTGTAATTGTGCTGCAGTGGGCTTTTATTTTCAGAACAGCACCTTAGGAAACAATGATTCCTTTCAGGTGTGTGTTTGGTGCAGTTGGTGGCATTTTGCGGGTAGCCTTGTGCACATGCGAACAGTCGTGGACACTGAAATCACAAATGTGCACAAGAAAACGCACCCCTCCTTTTCGTCATGTGTTTACAGTACTGAACACTTACGGTTACACATGACAGACTCAGTGTACGAAATGTTCCTGCACACCAGCTCAAATGTGCATGAATGGCTGTGCACAAAGCTGTGTGTACAGTGTGAGCTTTTTTATATTTTCTTTAAATCCTTGAAACCAAGGCTGGGATCCAACTGTTTGTTCACAAATAGAACATATCACAAACTGGCGCTTGAACAATTATGTGGATTCCTGTGCACAACCAAGGCCTTGCTGTGCGAGAGGAATTCAGCAGGCTGGCCTCGCTGTCTCCGGATCACAGGTAGCACGTGGAGCGGGGAGGGGTTCTTCCCCGCAAATCTTTGAGAAAAGCTATTGTGACGAGCCTTTTGGGGAAGAGAGAGCAGGTTATAATGGTAATTACGGCAGTGGGTGAACTGATGCCCTTGCAATCAGATAAATTAATTAATATTCCCACTTTTTCAGTGTTTTAAATTCAGTTTAGATGCTGCTGTGACTCTTTGCAACGTGCGCTGATTAGTCTTAATTAGAGGTTCCATTCACAAAACGCTTTAATCTCCTTTTCCTTTAGTTTTCAGAATAACTTTTGCGTTTTCTTTTCTGCCTTACAGTGTTTACAGTGTTTTGGGTGTTGTTTGAAGTGATTCTGTATTTGTTTGGGAGAAAATCTTCAAGCGCAAAGTTAATCAGTTTGTTTTGAACACGAGTTGCTTTACATCCTCCGCTCCTCCTCCGGCCCCTCCCATGTATTTGCATGCCATTTAACAGGGATCTTCAGGTCTGAATGCACGGTTTTGATTCTACACAGATGGCTCTGCCATCTGCATTCCAGCCTTTTGAAGGAAGCATAAAAAGCTGCACACGAACACAGGCAGAAACAGTGCTCTAAAAGTAAGGAAACCCTTCATTTATCACCCCCCACCACCACCACCACCCTTGGCTGACTCTGCTCCCATTCAGATATGTCAACAGTCAATTAATGCTGCCTGTCATCAGCTGCTTTGGGTGCATCCGCCTCAAATTTGTTACTCTTCTCATTTGAAATAAAGTAGACGGTATAAATATTGAAGCTACATGCCTGAAGTTTGTTAATCAGTTTGGCAACACGGCGCACCGAGCAGAACGATATCTTTTGTTATCTCAAGAGAAAAACGTGTGTGCAAACACTGATGTCAGGTGATAATAGAAAACAGCCTTCTCTGGAAAGTTTGGACTAATTGTTTGTGCTCATTAGCTGCTTTCGGGGATGACAAAACCATGTCGGTGTCGGGATTATTATTATTTATCCTAAATCTTTACGAGTGTCTCTCTGTTCCTCCCTTTTGAAAGTGAAAACCCGTTTAAACTCAGAGGTTGGAGGTCAAATGAGAGGAGTTCGTTTGTACTTATGCTTCTGTGTAAATGTGTTTATGCACACGTGTGTCAGAATCTGGATTAACCGGTGGCTAAAGCCGCTCTTGTTTACATGCTCATCGACGCTGATTTGTTTTGACAAAGGAACTGCCATGACAAAGCCAGCAAACACCAACTGTGTGCACAGGGGGAAATAAGCTCCAGTGAGACATCTTTCCATCCTTCCAGCGATACGCCACATCATCGGCACTGCTTTTATCTTGTGTTTATTAAAAAAAATAATTAATTAATGGAATATTTTGTGTTTTCTCTCCCCCATCACATTGCTGAATATTAATCCAGATTAGTCTCCTCCTTCACTTCCTTGCATGCCCTCCCTCACCCCGACATCCCTATTGCTGTTGAATTATTCAAACAAAGACATGAAAGTTAATTTTCTAACTGCTTGTGCTTCAGCTGGCGAGAATCAGTCGGGATGCCCACGTCTCTGAAGGCAGAGGGAGGGTTGGCAGGGACAGCCCGGGGCTAAATGTCAGGTGTGCTTCTGGGGACGAGTCAGTGGGAGAGATCTTCTTGATGGCTAGAACAAAGTGCTCGTTTGCTTGCGCTAAGGTACACCCAGAAGAAGGGAGAAGATCACAAAAGGGTACACCACAGATTTTCCGCCCCTCTGCTTCAGAGTGGTGTAAGAACTGATGCAAGCGATCAGGACGATGAGTGGCAGGCTGTGAACATACTCACTATCGTTATGGGCCTTGATATTTAGTCAGTTGCGGGTCAAATGATCCTCCTCCCACTCAGTCTGATCTCCCGCTTCCCATTGTGTAATTTGCATCAGCATCTTCCTTTGTTGAAATGCGTCTGCGGACGTCATCAGAGAGAGTGAAGCACCAAGTAGATGAAATGCGAGCTACCAAGGAGGCCTTGTGCGGTTTGTCTCTTAAGCATCTCATCTTTTATTCCTGAATTACACATGTAAACAGTGCGAGGAGTCACAAGAAAGGAATTCAGGTTTCTGGTATCCACAGAGGTGAAGCTGAGGCTCAAACTCTCAGTTTTCTCCTGACAC